GTGTAGGGTCATCACCTCACAGAACACCTCCAGCTACACAACAACAACACAACACAACAACAACACAATAAATAACCACAAAATAACCACAACGACACAACTAAATAACCACAACAACACAACTAAATAACCAGGTAGTCCATCAGCATCACGTAACCGGCCTGGTGTAGGGTCATCACCTCACAGAACAACTCCAGCTACACAACAACAACACAACAACAACACAACAACACAACTAAATAACTGGTAGTCCATCAGCATCACGTAACCGGCCTGGTGTAGGGTCATCACCTCACAGAACACCTCCAGCTACACAACAACACAACAACACAACACAATAAAATAACAACAACAACAATACAATAACCACTAAATAACCACAACCACAACAACACAACACAATAACCACCAACAACGCCAACAACACAACTAGCAGAACAGAGGCTAGGAAGCTGAAAAAGTTGGAGGAGTTTTTAAATCAAAAAGCTAATTAGCATGAAATGCTTATTTTAAAAATATTCATTCAGATCTCATTGAAAATAAGATTGAAAATAGATTAAAACAATCAAATTAAAAGAGCTAGTTGATACGTTTCAGTCTTGTTCCCACTGGTTTTTAGTTAATCACCTAAAGTTATTTAGATCCTGGAGGTGCATTTCTCAGATCTGTCAGCGTGAACTAAAGGGAATGCAGACCAGTCGGGACACGTCAGAAAGCTTTAGAAAATATGGAAATGCTCCATAAACACTCACATTTCCAGGTCATGATCCACATTCTGCAGGTCAGTATCGATACTGAACCTTCAGTTATTGCCATAAATCAAATGTGTATGAATGTTTGTCCGGATTTTTTTTTAAATGGAAGAAATATTTTTGAAGATTGGAAAAAAAACATGAGAATGAACTTGAAAAAAAAACAGAAAGTTTTCTCTGTAAATATATATTTTTAAAAAATGGAAAAAAACATGAGAATTAACTTGAAAAAAAAAACAGAAAGTTTTCTATGTAAATATATATTTTAAAAAAATGGAAAAAAACATGAGAATTAACTTGAAAAAAACTTAAAAAAACAGAAAGTTTTTAAAAATATATATATTTTCAAAAATGGGAAAGAAAACATGAGAATGAACTTGAAAAAAAACAAAAAACAGAAAGTTCTCTCTATAAAGATATATTTTTAAAAAAATGGAAAAAAAACATGATAATTCACTTGAAAAAAACAAAAAAAAGAAAGTTTTCTCTATAAAACAATATCTTTAGAAAATGGAAAAAAACATGATAATTAACTTGAAAAAAAAACTGAAAGTTTTCTCAATAAAGATATATTTTTTCAAAATGGAAAAAACATGAGAATGAACTTGAAAAAACAAAACAAAAGAAAACAGAACGTTTTCTCTATAAAAATGTATTTTTAAAAAAGGGAAAAAAACTAAAACATTAATTTGAAAAAAACAAAAAATAATTAAGGTTTTCTTTGTGAAGATATATTTTTCAAAAATTGGGAAAAAACAAGAGAATTAACTTGAAAAAAAACAAAAAAGAAAGTTTTCTCTATAAAAAAATATCTTTAGAAAATGGAAAAACATGATAATTAACTTGAAAAAAACAAAAAACAGAAAGTTTTTTCTATAAAGATATATTTTTTCAAAATGGAAAAAAACATGAGAATGAACTTGAAAAAAACAAAAAACAGAAAGTTTTTTCTATAAAGATATATTTCTATAAATTGCAAGCTCCAAACGTACTGTTTGAATCCTTTTGTGTACATGTTTTCACACGTATGAGTAATTTCATGCATTCCCAGCGTTTAAAAAAAAACATGAGTATCAACTTGAGAAAAAAACAAAACAACAGAAAGTTTTCTTCTAAAGATATATTTTTAAAAAATAGAAAAAAACTTGAACAAAAACAAAAAACTGAAAGTTTTCTCTATAAAGATATATTTTTTAAAAATAGAAAAAACATAAGAATGAACTTGAAAAAAAACTAAAAAAATAAGGTTTTCTCTATAAAGATAGAATTTTTAAAAATTTGGGAAAAAACATGAGAATTAACTTGAAAAAAGCAAAAAAAACCTGAAAGTTTTCTTATAAAGATATATTTTTAAGAAAACGAAAAAACCATAATATCTATTTAAAAAAAAAAAAAAAAAGAAGGTTTTCTCTATAAAGATATATTTTTAAAAAATGGAGAAAAAACATAAGAATTAACCTGAAAAAAACAAAAAAATACTGAAAGTTTTTTCTATAAAGATATATTTTTAAAAAATGGAAAACAAACATGAGAATTAACTTGAAAAAAAATAAAATAATGAAAGTTTTTTCTATACAGATATATTTTTAAAAAATGGAAAAAAAAACATGAGAATGAACTTGAAAAAAACAAAAAACAAAAAGTTTTCTCAATAAAGATATATTTTTTCAAAATGGAAAAAAACATGACAATGAACTTGAAAAAAACAAAAAACAGAAAGTTTTTTCTATAAAGATATATTTCTATAAATTGCAAGCTCCAAACGTCCTGTTTGAATCCTTTTGTGTACATGTTTTCACACGTATGAGTAACTTCATGCATTCCCAGCGTTTAAAAAAAACATGAGTATCAACTTGAGAAAAAAACCCCAAAAAAAGAAGGTTTTCTCAATAAAGATATATTTTTAAAAATAGAAAAAGCATAAGAATGAACTTGAACAAAAACAAAAAAACTGAAAGTTTTCTCTATAAAGATATATTTTTTTTAAATTGAAAAAAACATAAGAATTAACTTGAAAAAAAACTAAAAAAAGAAGGTTTTCTCTATAAAGATATATTTGTCAAAAATGGGAAAAAGACATGAAAATTAACTTGAAAAAAAAACAAAAAATCTGAAAGTTTTCTCTATAAAGATATATTTTTAAAAAATGGAAAAAAAAGAAAAATCACTTGAAAAAAAAACAAAAAACCTGAAGGTTTTCGCTACAAAGATACATTTCTTTAAATTTCAAGCTCCAAACGTCCTGTTTGAATCCTTTTGTGTACATGTTTTCACACGTATGAGTAACTTCATGCATTCCCAGCGTTTAGAGCTTTTGTTGGGTTTTTTTTCTCTTTGTTGTGAGATGTGAGACGGTTTCTGTGTGGCTGCGGCTCACGCTGAGCCTCGTCCCAAACACAACGGGCCCTTTCACCACCAACTCTCCATTTAACCCCCTTTCTCATGCATGGGAACATATTTACTCGATTCCATTCACAGAACAGATTTCTGAAAGGTTGCGTATGGACCACACTGTCTTTTGTAATTAATCTGTCACAGAAACTAAGACCAATTTAGTTAAAATTGTAACTGAACAGAGATGAAACTTTATTTCAAACTTATTTAAATCTTTGTGATGTTTATTTACAAACAAAACTAGTTCTTTAAATATTAAAAATCAGGACAAACATGTCTTTTATAGTTAATCTTTTCCAAAAACTCAGACAAATTTAGTTAAAATTGTAACTGAACAGAGATGAAACTTTATTTCAAAATTATTTAAATCTTTGTGATGTTTATTTACGAAGAAAACTAGCTCTGTGTAGCCGTTTAAATATTAAAAATGAGGACAAACAAGTGTTTTGTAGTTAATCTGTCCCAGATACTCAGTCAAATTTAGTTAAAATTGTAACTAAACAGAGATTAAACTTATTTTAAACATTCAATATAATAAATCTTTGTGATGTTTAATTGTTGTGATGAAACTTTGATGAAACTTTGCCTTTAATATCTAATATAATAAATCTTTGTGATGTTTATTTACGAAGAAAACTAACTCTGTGTAGCCCTTTAAATATTAAAAATCAGGACAAACATGTATTTTATAGTTAATTTATCACAGAAATTCAGTCAGATTTGGTTAAAATTGTAACTGAACAGAGATTAAACATTATTTAAAAATGATTTAAATCTTTGTAATGTTTAATACGAAGAAGACCAGCTCTGTGTAGCCCTTTAAATAATAAAAATCAGGATAAAACATTTTAAAAGCACAAAAACAGCTTTAAAAGCCCCAAAAAACAGCTTTAAAAGCCCCCCCAAAACAGGTTTAACCCTTTAAAGCCCGATCCAAGAAAAATAAGAAGAATATTGGATTTTTTTTAGGCCCCTCAACAACATAGGACACATTTGGCTTTATAGGGTTAATAAAAAGCCCAGAATCCCACCTGTCTTTCAGATATGGCCGCCGTGTTTTTAAACACGACCCACTCCACGGTTTCCGTGCAGGGGGGCGCTGTCAGGGAGCCGTTGTAGATAAAATACTTTTCCGTGGAGTTTGGGAGGAGGCCTCGCATAGTAAAGGGAAACACGTCCGCCTTCTTACCTAAAAGGAGAAAAAAGTTAGAGCAGTGTTTTTCAACCTTTTTTGAGCCAAGATACATTTTTTCATAGAAAAACCAACCAAAATTGTCAAACAAATCTGTATCCGCCTATAGTAACACTATAGTTATTATTACCTTATTCTTATCTTATCTTAAGTGTCATGAATAGGAGTCAAATAAACACAAAAATGTTTTTTTTATCATATTTTATATTTCTTCTTTCAAATTGCACTTAACATGTCCACTTCAATATACAAAATTATAAACAAAATCTAGTCATAAGGAATTATTACATGATTACTCCACCAGTCACTAGAACAGCACACACACTCAGAAATGGAATATTATTTGCAGATAATTAATTCCTTATCAAAAAATCTTTTTAGACCAATGAGGTGAAATAGGATGATTTTCTACACCTGACCATCACTAACACCACACTAATGGTTGAAAAACACTGAGTTAGAGTACAAAAC